TTTTAAAAATCTTTTTAAACATGCTGTTGGATTCGGTTTGTATAAATTTTTCTGAGGACTTTAACATCTAAGTAAGAGATACGGGTCTATATTTTGCTTTTTGTGCTCTTTGTTTTTGTAATTATGAGGTGGCCTCATAAAATCAGTTGTGAAGTAGGCTTGTCTTTTCTGTTTCTGGAAGAGATTATGTAAAATTAGTGTTGGGGCATTATGTTAATATTTACTGCTTTTAAAAAATAAAACCCCAATTATCCTCAAACAGTTACTTTAGGTGAAACCTGCTTTTTCATCATAGGAGGGGTATTTTAGATTTAAATATGACTTTTGCTGGGCTATTTTATAGTTAAACGTTCTACCAAATTTCAGATTCAGTGTGTTGCTTTTTTTTTTTTTTAAATGGTAGGAAAAAATGGTACCAGTCATTAAAGCATAAAGTAGTACTTTGGAAATAGAATTATTATCTAAATTAACTCTGATACTGGATTCTGTGATTAGGCTCATTGATTTACTATAACTAGGCTGAATGTGAATTATGAAATGATGGAATTATCCATAATAATTATAAAGTTATTATGGAAATTGAATCAGTTGTGGCAACAGGGTAATGAAAGTTTTGGTAATTTACTCAAGGCCACAGTTTGTGAATGAAATTCTAAATTCATGTCACAATCTGTTAAGCCAGTGGTACTTAACTAGGGAGGAACATTAGATCACCAGTGGGTCTTTGTCAGTAAGACAAAGAAAGCAAGTGTGCACACGTGCACGCGCGCACACACACACACACACACACACACACACTTTCTTGGGTATATACCCCTCCTGTCATAGAGTTTTCAGTTATTCCCAGGGCTACAAATGGACTCAAACAGGAATTTGAGAAAACAGAGGATTCTGTTGTATATGATTTGTTAAGAACCATGAATACCTTTATGTCTGTTTATTTCTTTTGAAAATAGTATGAACTATTTTTTTTTAGTATGAACTATTTTGAATTACTTTGATAGAATAAACCTATGGGTAGAAGCTTTAAGTTTCAAAAAATTTTAAATTGGAAGTTGCTGCTAAAAATTAGTGCGTGTAAGCAACTTTTGCCTTTTTTTTTTTTCAGAATTGCACCTTTAAAGTCACAATGCAAGCTTAACATAAAATGTATGTGTAATTGACTTTATTTTTATAATTATCATGTTGCTGTATTTAGTGTTGAGTTGGAGAAATGATGAGATAGAGACAGATTACAGGATCAGCTTGAAGAGGGGGTGATGAGATTGTCACAGTTTTCCGTATAAGCAGTCTTGTATCTCTGGAAAATATCAATCAAATGGTAATCTAAATCTAGAAAACCATCCTGAAATCTTGTTTGCCTTTACAAATTAAGTGAAAAAATTATTTTTTAAAATGAAGAAATGGTCATTTGTTTATCTTTTCTCTAGAACAGAGATGGCAGATACTAAGTCGAAGACCCTTTTGCTTCAGAATCCTTATTACTCTGGGCAGCTACTATTAACTGATTGGAATTGACACCAAAGATGAAACTTACTTGGCATTTCTGCTCTAGGCAGTATTTTATTTTTGTCAGTTTTATTTCATTTAAATGGTGTTATGGTGTCCTATGCTTCAGTGGCATCTTCTTTGGAAGTTAAAATTAATTAATACTAATTACATGAGTGGTAATTTGCAGAGGATTTGTCCCCAACAAAACAAATCAAACAAAAGGCAGGTTAGCTAGACTGTTGGAATTAGGAAATTGTTTTAAACGTTAGCTGACCACATAGCCTGTGAGCCAAATTAGGATGTAAACTAAGAGTGATTTTTGTATTTTTAAATGGTTGAAAACAAAAATAGTGTTTTTTGACATGTAAAAATTACACAAATTTCATTTTTAGTGTCTATAAATAAAGTTCTATTGGAATATAACCATGCTCATTCATATAGTGTCCTATGGATGCTTTTGTGCTGTAAGCGCAGAATGGAGAGGAGTTGTGACAGAGACCAGTTGGTCTGCAAAACTGAAAATATTTACCGTCTGGCCCTCTACAGAAAAAGTTTGCCATACCTTGTTTTAGATAATAATGTGACGGTGAATGATTGCTTTTGGGTTTAGTAGAGGAGGAAACTTACTTTGCTGGTATTTTCAACAGGTTTCTGAAAAGGAATAACTTAGAAAATAGTTTTTATATACATACATAGTAGAAGCACCTTTGGTTTTTTTATAGAATACAAAGAGCATGGAGTTAGCAGCCTTAGGTTATAATATGTCTGCTCGTGCTATTATTTCTTCCATAGTTGAGAGAAGTCCGTTGCACTAATATTGCTACAGATTTTAGCAGCTTATAATTCCATCTGTGTACTAGCACATTGTACAGCAGCAGCAAGTTCTCACACTTTTTGGTCTCAACTTTTTAAAGACTATAAATTTAGAATCCCAGAGTCTTTTTTTTTTTTTTAAATAGGGGTTATATCTATCATCATCACATTAGAAATTGATACAATTTTGAAATATTTATTTAAAAGTAGCAATAATCCATTGTATGTTCACCAAAGAACATTTTTATGAAGAATATTTTCCACAACAAAAAAATGTGAAATTTTTACAAATCTCCTTAATTGTTTTAGTGGAAGACAACTAGATTGTTGTATCTCTCCATTAAGTCTGCCGTGGTATGTTCTTTTGATATGAAGGAAATCTGGCCTTACACAGATATATAGTTAGAAAAATGAGTATTTTTAGAAATTGTGGATGTTTTTCTTTGATATAATACCTAAACGCAACAAGTGGTAGAGTTTTTGCTTTTTTCCCCTCAAGTCAGGTTTATTGAAGTATAATTTACGTAGAATAAAATGTATTTTTTTTAATAATACAATTCTGTCAGTTTGGATTAACCCATAAATTATATAACCTCTAGCCAGTCATCATGTAGAATATTTTGTCACTCTTTTGCCCCTCAGTCCCAGCTTCTGGCAACATCTGATTGGATTTCTGTCTACATAGTTTTGCCTTTTCCAGAATACTGTTTAAATGGAATCACATAATACATAGCATAATGTGTTTGCAATTCATCTGTGTTGCTACAGGTATCACTAGTTCATTTCTTTTTATTGTATGGATGTTTGTTGATCCATTTACCAGTATTGGATATGGAGTTGTTTCCAGTTTTGGGTTGATTGTAAATAAAGCCATTCTAAGCATTCATGTACAGTTTTTGCATGAACATATGTTTTTCATTTCTTAGGTAAATGCCCAGGCATGCTATTGTTGGGTAGTATGGTAGGTGTATATATGTTTAACTATAAGAAGCTGTCAAACTGGCTTTACAAAGTGGGTGGACCATTTTACATTCCAACCACCAATGTGTGAAAGTCCCAATTGCTCTACATATTTATCAGCATTTGAGATTGTTTTTGTTTTAGACATCTTAATCAATATTATAATTAGTTTGTTTGCATTTCTGTAATGATTAATGATACTGAGACTCTACATGTAGTATTTTCCATTCATATCTTTTCAGCAAAACGTGTTATTTTGAATCTTTTGCCCATTTTTAAAAGAAATTTAGTGGCTTTAAAAAATGACTTTTGGGATCCCTGGGTGGCTCAGCGGTTTAGCGACTGCCTTAGGCCCAGGGCTTGATCCAGTCCCGGGATTGAGTCCCACATCGGGCTCCCTGCATGGAGCCTGCTTTTCCCTCTGCTTGTGTCTCTGCCTCTCTCTCTCTCTCTCTCTCTCTCTCTCTCTCTCATGATTAAGTAATTAAGTAATCATTTATAATTTTTTAATAAAATCTTAAAAAAATAAAAAATAAAAATAATGACTTTTATGAGTAATGATAAGTAATGACTTGTGAGAAGTTTTTCTGTATACTGAATATCAGCTTTTTTTAGATATATAATTTGCCAGGTATTTTCTCCTAGACTGTGACTTTTTTCCTTTAGCTTTCAAAGAGAAGTGTTAATTTTTTTCTAAAGATTTTATTTATTCATTTGCGAGAAAAAGAGAAGCACAAGCAGAGGAAGGGGCAGAGGGAGAGGGAGAAGCACACTCCCCACCAGGCAGGGAGGCTGACATGGGGCTCAATCCCAGGGTCCTGGGATCATGACCTGAGCCGAAGGCGCATGCTTAACCAATGAACCACCCAGGTACCCCAAGAAGTTTTCATTTTAATGAAATGCAGCTTATCAGTTCTTTTTTTGTACTTCATGTCTTAAGAAATCTTTCATAATTTAGGGTCATAAAGATTTTTCATATTTTTTTTCTACAAGTTTTATACTTGGAAGGTTTTAGTTTAGGTATTTGATTATAGTTAGTTTTTATAAATGGTGTAAGATATGAGTTGAAGTTTGTCTTGTTGTTGGTTTTTGCATGAGATGTCCAATTGTTCCAGCATCAGTTGTTGAAATGACTATGTTTTCTCTATCAAAATGTGTTGGCACCTTTGCTTTGTGTCAGTTGAATATTATGTGTGGGTCTATTTCTGGGTCCTCTGTTGTGTCCCATTGAAGCAATGTCTTTTCGCTAAGACCACACTGTCTTGATTGCTGAAGCTTTATAGTGAGTCTTGAAAACCAGTAGTATGCATTCTCCTTTGTATATCTTTTTCAGAATTATTTTGGGTATTCCACTACCTTGTTTTTCCATATATGGTAAGAGATAGTTTTTTATTTTTTTTTTGAGATAGTTTTTTAAAAGCTAATTTTACAGTGCAGAATCTGAAACCATTAATGAATATTTTGACCTCTGTAATATTAAAATCTGTGAGACTATCTTGAACATCAAATGGCTTTTTTTTAAACTCACAAATGCTTTTATAACATCATACATAATTCAATTAGAGAATATTGGTTTTCTGAATTATGTAGACCTACTATTGGCACATTTCATTATTCAGTATTTAAAAGTTACACGTATCACTATCACCACTGATCTCATGAGAGACTTCTTCTTCTTTTTTTTTTTTTAAATGAGAGCATGCTCACGCATGCATGTCTGAGTAGGGTAGGGGAGGGGCAGAGAGGGGGCGGGGAGAGAGAATCTTAAGCAGACTCTATGTCCAGGGCAGAGCCCAAAGCAGGGCTTGATTTCATGTCTCTGAAAAATGACTTGACTAGAAATCAAGAGTTGGACATTTAACCAGCTGAGCCACCCAGGCGGTGGGAAAGTGTCAGGCTAACGGTGGTGACACAAAATTTTCACACTTCTTTTTTTGCTTGAAGGATCAAATTTATCATTGACATTGTTTAATGTTAGTTATTTTTCTGGAAGTAATAGGGTTAGTTGGTTCATTTTTGAGAACTTTTGTGTGTCAGATACCCAAGTCTGAATAACCACTACTGGGTTAATTACCAGCTCAGTCATGCAAAGGCTTTTTCTTGAGGCAACCATTGTGCTTCAGTGTGCAGCAGAAGTGCTTTTGCCTAGCTCCTATGTTGTCACCTTGGAAAATAAATCTCTCCAGGGTCAAGATTTAATTAAATTAACAATTTTACAGCTTTTCATCAAGGACATTCTTAAAACTTTTTTTTCAGAGAAATCTTGTGATATTTTTGGTCACTTTCTGTTGTTCTGTGTATTATACTTCGAGTACAGAGATTGATGTGGAAACCTAAACCCAGTGTTACACAGTGGGAGACCGTAAGTCACTGACATTTTAGGAATATCTGAGGTTGGTATATGGTGAGACAATCTCTTAAGAGCCAATACGGTTATATTAAGTTGTTGTTTTATTGTCTTATAGGTGCTATACTTGGTAGATCAGAAACTCAGGAGTGTATTTTCTATAATGCTAATTGGGAGAGAGATAGAACCAATCGAACTGGTGTTGAACCCTGTTATGGTGACAAAGATAAAAGGCGACATTGTTTTGCTACCTGGAAGAATATTTCTGGTTCCATTGAAATAGTGAAGCAAGGTTGTTGGCTGGATGATATCAACTGTTATGACAGGTAAGGAAACATTTTATTGTTTTATGAGAATGTTGAATAACCACCCCCCCTACACACACACACACACACACACACACACACACACACATGCTCCCTTTTTAAAGGGGGAAAGATCAATACATGTATTTTCACTTAAATGTTTCTTTTTTAATATGGGATTATGAAGGCCATTATAACATGCTCTAATGATAAGATACGTGTTTTAAAGTAATAAAATATGGCATTTTTATGTTTTATCTTTGATATACTTTGAATAATCTACCAAGTAGTGAGAACTATAGATACGACCATTTTTTCCCTTCTGTTATTGGAATGATAAACTTTTTAAATGTCAATTTTAAGGAAAAAGGATTTCTAAAATTGCTTTAAACGACAGTATATCTGTTGAAAATCTATCCTCTGTCCTCAAAAAAAGTAAAGCTTAATCATAGTATTTAATTTCCTTTTAGTTTCCCTCTTTATGTATCTGGAAGAAATTGATCTTCCTGCATTTTTTCCTTTTTTTTTCTTGCAAAGTAGGCCTTTGTTCTTTACCCCCGAGAGACATTTTAACTTGACGTTCAGAATTACATCAGTACTAACAGAGTCCTCGTAGAAAGCTACATTTTATTTAAAAGATTTTGCTTAAATTGTTTTATTCTGTACTGGAAGTAAGCTACAGTAGAGATGTTGTTGACTGCCTGTGATCTTTCTATAAGGAGTCCTGTAGATAATGGGCGATCACTCAAACTGCCTGGGCCCCAGGATTTCCACTGTGGGTGGGTGCTGATGACTGGCAGAGGCTGCAGAGTCCTAGAGAAACAGACATTTTGGAGCCAGAAAATACTGATACACTCATGGAACCCTAGATAGTTGGCCTATCGACTTTCAAGAGGCTCAGTTGATAATCATGAACGTGTGGTTGATTAGCCACATGTGATTTTTTTTAAAGATTTTATTTATTTATTTGAGAGAGATTGCAGAAAGAGACTGTGTGCATGAGCGAGCATAGGAGTGGTTGGGAGTTGCAGAGGGAGAGGGAGAAGCAGACTCAGAGCAGGGAGCCTGACGTGGGGCTTGATCCCAGGACCCAGGACCAATCACCACCTGAGCCCAAGGCTGATGCTTAACTGACTGAGCCACCCAGGCACTCCAGCCATATGTCATTAATAGCAAAATTGTTGAATAAGCCCATGAAAATGGAATTATCTCAATTTTTCATGAGAAATTAAAATCTTACACACACACACACACACACACACACACACACACGGTATTGTAGTATTTAGGGTATACTTCTAAATCTGTGGATTTTCCAGGCTTATTTCTCTGTAATTACACATTTTAGCTGCATTTCTGATTCTTGGCCTCTCATTAATAGAGGTGATCATCAAGTGATATTTGCTTTTATGAAAGGTAAGTAGGGCCACTAGGAAAATAGGATAGAGGTTCCTCAAAAAATAAAACTAACCTATGATCCAGCAATTCCACTTTTGGGTATTTATCTGGAGGAAATGAAAATATTAACTTGTAAAAAGATACATACACCCATATGGTTATTGCAACATTATTTATAATAGTCAAGATTGGAAGCAACCTGAGTGTACATTGATGGATAAAGAAAATGTGGTGTGTACACACACACAAACACATACACTCATAGAGGATGTTATGCTAAGTGAAATTAATTGTGTAGAGAAAGGCGCAAATACAATATGATCTCACCTAATGTGTAGTGTATATTGTATGTTTAAAAGTTGATAAGACAGTAGATTTTTCTTCTGTCTTTTTTGTTTGTTTGTTTTGTTTTGTTTTTTTAGAGAGAGGAGGTTGGGGAGGGGCAGTGAGAGAGAGAGAGAGAGGAGTTCGATTTCATGACCCTGAGATTTCACCTGAAATTCAGTCATATGCCTAACTTTGCCAGGTGGTTTGATGAGAGAGTAGATCTTGAAAGTTCTCATCACAAGCAAAATAATTTTTAACTATGTGTGATGTTGGACATTATATTATTGTGGTGATCATTTCACTATATGTACAAATATGAAACCATTTATGTTGTATACTGGAAACTAATGTAGTGCTATGTCAGTTTTATCTCCAAAAAAGTGGGGAAAATATTTTTTCCAAATTTTTATTAATTAGTTGAAACCAAAGATCCTTGTTCTTTTTGTAGTAGAAACTACTGTTCGTCTCACCTGATAGTTAAGAGAAGGAAAAAGAAAAGATTCAAGAAATATCAAAGTATGGAGAAAAGACAATGATACAAAGAATGAAATTGGATAGGGAAAAGTACTTTTTTGAGTTAATTTGGCTGAGTTATCATTTTCCCCTCCTATAATTTGAGGCATGATTCTAAATGTTAAGATTTTAAACATATATTTTTTATAACTTAAGATTTAGCTTTCAGTTGTCTTTTACTTTCTATTAAATAGAATTGGTGTAGATTTAATTTTAATGTTTGATTTTGTTAAAACAGGCTTCTCCTTGAAATTTCTTAAGCTTTCCATTTTAAATTCAACCTTATTATTCTAACAGCCATCACAAAAGTTTGCAGTTTGTAGGATATGTCTTTAAATTTACCTGATGTTTATTAGCATATTTAAAGGTTTGTTGTTGTTGTTATCTGTTTGTTTTCAAACAGGTATGCCTATTTATTGGCTGATTAGGGTTTGTTCTAGTGGCTGAATCCCTATCTCCTCAGCTCCCCAGTCAACCTCATATCAGTTTTTGAGTTATTAGGTTCTATATCTTGTTACATATTGTTTTCTACTTGTTGGTTATCTTACCCTTGCTCATTGTGTTTAGGGAATTTAAATCTACTCCAAAAAATGATACTGTTAATTCCCAAATCTAGCTTGGGTCTGTGATGTTGAGATAGGTCCTGCCATGAAAGGAACTTAGGTCATTTTGTGTGTGTGTGTATATTTATATATAAACATATATGTATATATGGGTATTGGTGTATACACATACACATAGTTTTATTTATAGTGTTCAGCATTTTAATTAATGCAATGGGAAAGCTATATGTCCTGTAAGAGAAAGCACTCGTAAGCCAAATTTCTTCGTTGGCTCTATGTTCCTTTTTACACTTTTCTAATAATTAAAGAAACACAGTTGCCTTAGATTGATGATTTAAAACCAGATTAAGGTCATAGCAGTGGCCTCAAGAAGCTAGTGTCATTGCTGTAAAAGCAGCTGGTTTTTGTTTTTAAGTGAGATTTAGTAAAAGGATTACTGGAATGTTTTTTGGCTTTTAAGAATTGATCATTGGATATTAATAAAAATCTTTTAAGTTGACCATGAATTTTCCATTATTTTATCTCTGAGAAGAATTTTAGAAAAATACCCATTATGGATTCAGTTTAATGTTGATTTTTTAATGATTTCTCCTCTGTTTGTTTATAGGACTGATTGTATAGAAAAAAAAGACAGCCCTGAAGTGTATTTTTGTTGCTGTGAGGGCAATATGTGTAACGAAAGGTTTTCTTATTTTCCGGAGATGGAAGTCACACAGCGTAAGTTCACAGGGAAAATACATAGATCTGTTCAACTAGTACACTGAAAGCAAAACATATTTTGTGTTGATGGAATAATTTACTCCTACCTTCTCCTACTCTTGTTTTTCTCCTAAAATTTGATGCTATAAATCAATAAATACTTAATTGTGGAATTTTGTAGACCAAATCTGAATTGTTTTTTTCCTTCCATTTTCCACAGCTACTTCGAACCCAGTTACACCTAAGCCACCCTATTACAACATATTGCTCTATTCCTTGGTGCCACTTATGTTGATTGCGGGGATTGTTATTTGTGCATTTTGGGTGTATAGGCATCATAAGATGGCCTACCCTCCTGTACTTGTTCCAACTCAAGTAAGTTGTTGTCTTGTACCTTGTGCTGTTTTAAGTTGTATATTTCACAGAACTATTACTGTGGTGAAACCCACTGGGTTGCTATAAATCATTTTCTTTTGGTGTTACTTTTTGAATGCTTATTGTTATGGCAACTATAGCTAATTTTCCAAATTTAGTAATTTGCTGTGTCCTAAACTTTTCTCACTTTGGAGCTGAGGTAAAGTAGAACAAAGGGTATTCTGTTCTTTGGACAGTTTCACTGTCATTGTAATACTTTCAAGTGTGAGATTTACCCAGCTTTGTTTCTTGAGAAGTAATTGATGGATAAGTGATATCATAACCTGTCCTTTCTCTTCTTTCCTCCATTCCTTAATTTTTTTGCCTTTTTCAAGACTACTTGCCAAAATATCCTTTTAACCATAGGGAGAGTTTTAGTAAGGTGATCCAGAAAGTGTGGAAAAGGAGGTTTCACAAAGGCATCAGGAAGCTATATACAAAAAAATGTTTCTGGGAAGAGGAGCAGATAAACAGTGCTTTTCATAATTTATTAGTAGTAGTTCAAGTGTTTTTTGTTGTTACTGTTTTTATTTGCAGCATATCAAGTGTGTACTGAAAACTAAAAAGCTTTTTTTTTAATACTAAAAATTTTTTCAGTGCCCTCGTTACTCCCTCTCCTGACCCCAAATCTACCTTAAACTATAGATATGGTGGGTAATCAGATTAAATTCATGAAATTTTCCTCTTTCTCTATCACATAGACAGTTGGTACTGGTACAATGGTTTACAAGTTCTTTTAATATAAGTAGTTAATATTCTGCAGACTCAGGAAGGGTGAAAACTGTAGTTATACTTGTTTGCGACATCTTCAAACTCTAGTTTTAACTGTGTTTCTTTTAACTCTTAAGATCAGATTACCTTGGCCTTTTGGATCTGTGGTTTAACTTTGTTACTCTAATACTAGGATTAATGGTTAAAACTTGGTAGAAGAACGGTAAAGTCCTATAATTTAATGACCAAAACAACTTCTTCTCTGTAAGCTTTATTTACATAACATACTACTTTCTCAGTACTTGGCAGCAATCTGTTAGCATTAGGTTATTGATCCACATAATCTTTGTAAGATGTATACATGGAGAAATAAACCCAAAGGTAAAATACCTTATTCAGTAAATTAGGTAAACACTGTTTTATGCAGCTGAAATATTTTAACTTTTAAACCTTAGTAACCAAGTTGTGGATTTATTAAAAATTATCTCTGAAAGTATTTTAAAATAAAAATTTCACTGCCTAATAAACAGATGTAGCTTATTCCAAATGGCCATAGGATCCACTTTATCTGCCTTTGGTGGTAACTACTTTTTGATTTCTATTTTTAGAAGAAAGAGTGTCTAGTACTTAGTGTCTGAATTTACCCTAGATTTGTGATATAATAGAAGAAAACTAGAAACTGAATTGAAAAATAAATTTAAGTTTTTTAATGGAACTTTAAAAATAAAAATGTATTCTTATAGATAACATTGATATTTATATAATATTAGCACAAAGTTACAGTTGGACTTTTTTAAAAAGGGCTCAGTATCCTATACATGAGGCCACTTTACTTAGAAATGCTAATTAATTTAAGGGGTTAGACTTTTAAAATGGAAAGATGCAGTTATTGTTCGTAAGTAACCGAGAACCAAGAGTCTCCAATGAATATCCATTTCTGGATTTTAGATTATTTGTTACCAGGTTAGTATTATTGTACACATTTATTTAGCACTTGGGTTGCTCTGTGGTGACTTTGCATACACTACATGAATTACTGAAAACTGAGAACTAGATTTAAGATTTTGTGATGGAATGATCTGGAATGGTCAAGCTTTTGTTAGGAAAAATAAACTGTGGAAGAGGGATTGTCATCAGTTTGGAAATTTCATTTATGTCATCTCTCACTGTGTCTCAAAAGTATAGTGTCATGCCTTAAGTATCATTTTTAGTGAGAGGTTCTACAACACTGATTAGTGGCCATTTTGTTAAAAATGCTCAAGTTTTATCTCCAGTTTCAAAATAATTATTAATAATAATTATTGAAAACAACAGCAAGGATTTATTGAACTCTTACAGTGTACTAGGGTACTGCTAAGTTACACATATGTATAAATACTTAAGTTTTATATAAGAATATGTAAAAACATAAAATACATAATTTTTTCTCATGATTTCTAAATTGTGACTGATATATAAGGCTCATCTTTGGAGTTTGTTAAAAAATACAAACTCCAGGGCCACAGCCCTGTAAGTATGGAGTGGGGCCTAAGATGATATGTTTCTAATAAGTTTCCAAGGTGATTGTGAACAGCCAGGTGTGAAAAGCACTCATTTGATTTTACCTCACAGGGTTTATGTAATTTTAATTTTAATTTTATAGATAAAGAAATTGAGACATAGCAAGACTCACAAGTGTCAGAGCTGGAATCTGAACCAAGGACTGGCAGTAAAGCTTTACTCTTCTTACTGCTTATGCTATTCTTCTTCTTCTTCTCCCCTCCCCCCCCCCAAAAGCTGGTGTCTCTGGTGCTTTAGATAATTCAGTAAATATCTCTGCCATTTCAAAAGCATTCTATAGGCTAATTTATTTTCCTACTTCGGTTGTTGAATAGTTTGACTACTAAAATGAGCAATAATACCACACTATTTCACATAAGACAAAAAGGAAAAGTCATGGATATATACAAGGGCATATTCAAGTGTTTTCCATTAAAACATTTTTTAGCACATTTTAGAATAAAGTTTGTTAGCATGATTGGGTTGTAGGTAAGGATTCCTGTGCTTCTGAGTTGATACTCAAGACTTTTATGAGGAATAGGAGTAGTAAGTGAGGGAGACATACGTTCGAAGTCTTAAGGTCTTGATTTCTGTATTTCACTCCATATTCATGTCCCCATGTTCAAAGCTGAATTCCAAGGCTAGTTAAGAAAAGATCATATATTCTTGTGGATTTCTGAAACATTTTTCCTCCAATTCTTCAAACACTTAGTGATGTGAAATTTTTCATTCCTTTTCTTGGGGAAACTTTTCTTTAAAGCTTTGGCTAAAGGCTGAAGGCTGGTTTGTGAATGAACTGGTCTGTTGTATGACATTAGTCTCATTGTGGTAACATCTTATTGACAAGTCATGCCTACAATAAGAACTGTACTTGAAGAGAATTTACAGTGAATCTCACAGAGCAAGCTGAAGTTATATATACTGTGATCATTCATTGGTCTGATCTCAGTCTTTTTTCTCATTGGCATCCTGGAGGACACGAGATATCCATATATATCTTCTTACTAAGCTAGTTCTGACAGCTAAATTGTGGGATTCTTTATTTCTAAGACACCAAGTTAGAATTTCTTCTAGTCTTGTATTTTATTGTGAAGAAATGACCTGGGGATCTACATGATATAAAATCTGGTCTTATGGTTCTTAGTAATCAGTAAAAAATATTAATTCTCAAATCTAGCATAGAGTCATGGAGAAAGTCATTTTGCTGTTTTTATTTTTATTTGAAGCCTTGTTTCTTTCTTTATAACCTGTAACTATTATGTTTCTAATATATGTTTCTAACTATTATGTTTCTGACACTGTCTTCCCCATCACTCTGGATGAAAGCCTGGGAGACAACTACTACCTCTTTAGGCCCTGTCATTTACCAAGTCCCATTCATTCATTTTTTTTTGTCCTTCTTGATTAGGAGACTAATGTCATCCTTCTTGTAGTTCAGGACATTATTACATCTGAGGCTGAGATTATTTCTGTAATCTCATAGCTGGTCTTCTTTCTCTCCATCTATATTATCGCTGTAAAATAGCATTTTACATGTCTGATTATCTTCCTTCTGTTTTTAAAACTATTTGAGGGCTTTCAGTGATCCATGGCAAAGAATACAAAGTTGAGAGTATGACATGGGAGCCTTCTGTACTTCCATGCATTTACTTTTTTTATTCTTTCCTCTCACTACACCCTAAGCCGTCCATTATATGCATCTAGAATGGTATTAGTAATGTACTGCCCTTGAAATAATTGAGAAAATAGTGCTGCAGTCAGTTTCCGTCTCGTGTGATTCAGGTGAATAACCCCAATTGAGAGAGGCCCTAGTCATTTGTGTACGTGTTCCACTCTCCCACTTGATTGTAAGCCCCTTGAAGACCAGCTGTGTGTCGTAATCATACTGGATTCACCCGATGTTTGTGTGTAGAACCGTTCGGTAAGTGATGAATTGCTGAATTTGACTTTGTTGCATTTAGAGTTATACTGAGATGATAATTGTAGCATGCCCAGGGATTCATTTAATAAAAAGCTTGATGGCTTAGTTTTAAGATAAATCTTGAGGCCATATTTCTTTAGGGTAAAATAAGTTGAAGTATTCAGGCTTTTGTAAGACGATGCCAGTATACAGTTCTTTCTGGAATCACAAGCTTGAAGCATCTCTTAAATTTGCATCCCCTAGGTCCTTTTCTTTTATCTGTGCTGAAACTGGCTTTCCACACGTAGGAATTTGCTCTTTTAACCCAGAGTGAGTAAACTGAACACAAACTGGTTTTTCTAGTGCTGGTGAGTCAAGAATATGAGGGAATGGATGCATTGACTCTGATTAAGAAGTCTTACCGTGGTTAGAGTTAATGTGGTTTCAATAAAAGTGTTTGCATCGCTCTCAAAACCATATGAGAGCTGAAGTTTCCTGTTAATAAATTAGATCTATATTTGTGCTGATGAAAAACACTAGATAAGAAAGTGGATTTTAGAGCCTAGAAATTACCTACCTTTAAAAAGGTATGAAATCAACTTCCTGTTCATTTTTAAAGGCTATATAAGTAGCACTATAGTATTGCAACTGTAATGCTTGCTTAAAGACATCAGTCTCTTCAGTTATTTACATCATGACATTTTGTCTAGATTTTGGTCTGATAAAGAGTAAAGGTTTTCAGATGTTTGGGATACTGATTGGGGTATACAAAATAATACTGCTGACCTTAATATTAAAGTGAATAACAGGT